CTGCTGAAGCTGTAAAATCACTTCTCACCTCCTCTAACCAAGCCGGCACAATTTAGACTTTGTCTTCCTCTGGCTTCATAAAATTGTGGKCACTTTCACACCTATTAGTTTACAGAAATAATGTAGTGGGGTGGGGAAGAACTTGTCAAACCCAAGGTTCATCACGTTGCCCCGAGGGCGTACAGGGGTGCCWCTTGCTCCACGCCCTCTAGCTAAATGCCTGATGTAGGTGGTGTGTATTTAATTATTCAAACATAGAAAAGCAGAACTCAAACTACTTCACAGCAGTTTTTGTTTTGTTCAAGTTACTGACGTACAAAAGCAGAAACATTCAAGGGAACAGTTAATGATTTCAAATCTTTCCCACAGCCTTTTTGTCCGAACATTTTCGAAAAAGTGGTGCGACTTTTGGAGACGTCGAAGAACAAAGATGATCGTTCTGTTCGTCGCAACCTGTTGATATTCGATGACCTTCCCACCGGCTACGATGCCCTCAGAATCATCTTCTCTGAGTGTGAGAGTCACACTGTTTCTTTCACTGCTGAAGCAGAATTATCAGTAGTTTTCTGATTATTACAACGAGCACAAATGTGTAAAAATGAAACAATCCTTCGTTTAGATGCCAGGTTTATTAAGGACATGGGCAGCAACATGGAGAGAACGCTGACGGCTCTGATGTCTCAACCTGATGAGTACAGTATCATGGTAAGAATGGAGCCTGGAAAAGTAGAACGTTTTGAAACTGTTACTTTATAAAGATTTTTTTAATGTTTTTCTTCTCTTTCAGCAAAGTGAAAGGATGAAGAAGGTAGGAAACGAGCTGTTTCAGAGACAGCGGTTTGAAGAAGCTGTAAGATATTATTCTAAAGCCATCGATTTTTTGTAAGTAAAGTTTTTAATTTTACCTTCTGAAGCTGTGGTTCTTGTCAATGTCAACTTTATTTCTAGAGCACTTTAAAAAAACAGCAACCAACTGCACCAAAGTACAGGAATCATAAAACAACTGATAAAAACATACTGAAGTAAAAACAATGAATTAAATAGACAAAACACATAGAATTACAATGTAAATCCTTATTGGTCCAAGATTTTGTATAAAGAGTTACAGTAATCTAATCATGTAGTAATAAATGCATGAATAAGTTTCTCAAAATCTTTGAAACAAAAACTTGATTTTACCTTTGCTAGTTTGTTCTTGAACCTTTTAGATTTAAACAGAAATGATGAACCATTTCAACATCCACAGCACCAGTTTTATTATTTCATGAGTACTGCTTTGATTTGTTGCAACAAAGAAAATGTGCTGTTTTTTACATATAAGTTGATGTTTGTGTATTGTTTATAGACCCTTTTTGGAAATTAAGGTTATACAGAGTTTTTTTATGCAAACTTTATTCTTCCTGCTTCGATTTTACAATTTATCTTTTGAACTTAATGAAGTATTTTTTGTTGACTTGTTTTTAAAGAGATAATCAGAGAAATGTGACTGAAACATGTTAAATATTTTAGCTTTTAYATGTTAAAATAACTGTTTTTCTTCTCCAGTCCTGACAACCACATTCTTTATGGAAACAGATCCCTGTGTTATATCAGGAATAAACAATATCTGTAAGTATTTTTTGTCCATTACTGCTAAATCTGAAAATGTAAAAGGTGCTGGATGAGGTGGAAAACATTTGTTTTTTCTAAAATTAATGCAAACATCAGGGCTATTCAGATAAACTGCTCCGGGGGCCACAGTTACTGCAGACCAACAGCACAAGAACCGAACATCCAGAAATTAAGGTCATTCTGTTAATAAACCAAGTATTACAAAGATATGTTACCTTTGAAATTGTTTATTTTGCTGCAGTTAATCATGAATACAGTAGGGCTGTGTATTGGGTAGAATTTGGCGATACGATACATATTATGACAG